ATTATTATTGTCATTATTACTATTATTATTATTATTTATTACTATTACTATTACTATTATATCATTATTAATATCTCGATTTATTCGTCAACATATACCACAGTGAAATAAATCTCACTATTATTTATAAGTTGATAAGGTTTCAAAAAATTGTATCAAAAAAAATATGCAATTGCAGAGAAACAGGCAATCGAATGGAGTTTATTACCCTTAAGTAGCACAGGAGCTGTTCGGTAACTGAATTCACATAGTATTGATAGATGAAGAAAACAGAAGCATGGAGTAAAGAAAGAGGGAAAAAAATGGCTCCTTACTGCAAACATAATGGTAGGAAATTTCTGATGAAATAGAACAGATAAAGAGCGTTCAACAACTACAATTTTCATAGGATATAACTGTTGAACTTTTAATTCGACACTTCTTTTAACAGAGTTGATTTCCTCTCCTTCTGAGCGAAGTTTATCTAGAATAATTAGTCGTAATTGACTCGAACTGCCAAAATACTTAAAATTTGGAACACAGAACCGAGAAAAATAACGCAAACCTTATCACCAAGCGATAAAGCCATTCCCTGGCTTTTGGCACGAATCCGTATATGCCCTATGATCGGACTGTCTGGATCAAGCGAACTGGTTTTTTCTATAGACACATTAGCTAGTGCATCTTCTCCGAAGATACTATGAGCACAGAAATTGGCAGCCAAAAAGCCACATTCACCTTCTGAAATTGGAATGGTGTTCGAAAATTCATTTCTTTCTGCAGATATGATCATCTTTGAAAATCCTACCAGAATTCAGAAAAATATCAGATGACACAGTTACTAATGGAAGAATCATCACTAAGAAAAAGAGCTAATGTGTCGGCCAAATTTGAAAAATACCCAATGCGGCATCAGTAGTCAATAGCTTCATGTTTGTAACAGCAGATAGATGCATCAGAAATGTACGTAAATCGGTAATTGGTGTGTTCACGTTGACCTAGAAAACAAAAAGAAACTAAAGCTTAAATACAAAATTGCTAAAGTGGAAAAAGAAAGGAAATCCATGGCATATATTCATATTAAATTACTGGCGGCACAATAAACAGTTAAATTAGTGTGCCAAAACAAGGAAATCCATGACATGTGTTGGATTCGAGTTAAGTTACTGGCATCAATATAAATGCATTCAAACTTTATTTTCCCATTCAAACTCGGCCCACATCTGCCGAAATTCGGTGTCCGTGCAATTGCCCGGTACAATGTAGTCCATAATATCAATATGTATATCTTCCAAATAAACGCAGTTGCGATCAGATGTCGATCCGCGAACATCGTACGCTATAGTCGAAAAAATCACACCATTTTCCGTAGAAGCAACTTTCACAGTAGCCTAAAATGACTATATTAATAATAGAATTTTCCTAACAAAACAGAAGATATAACGGCATTACAATGAGGAAATGAAAGTTTTCAATAGTCTAAGTCTAAAAACAACTGATCGTAGAATCTCAAAACTGAGGAATCTGCAGACTGCAAAACTAAGTAGTATTTTGAAAAAATTACCTTAATATTGGAAAAATCACGCGGTCCGAGTGTAAGAGGTGTTGGTTTATCGAGCAATTTTATATCACCAACCGTTGATAGTTCCAGGCAAACATTTTGAAGAGTATCATTTGTTTGATTAACGATAAGCACATCAAGAACGATGTCGTACTGATTTACGTTAACATATGCTTCTGCATAAACAGGGTCCGAAAAACCAGCAAGCTGCTTCACCTAAAATGAAAGTATAAAGTAGATGGATTTGAACAGGTAATAAATTACTATAATCCATCGAAGATGACTGAGAGTAAACTAAACATCTTCCAAGACGTATCCCAAAGATCGAAATTCACCATTAATATTCGTAACTACATATTGATTTTCTCTAAGAAGTTTTTTTGCGTCTTCATTAAGTTCCTATGAAGGAATATATACAGCAAAATAAAAGTTTTACAACAATAAAAAGCATTAAAACTCCCAAGCTGTGAAGTGATTTTCATTAAATTTATTCACCTTGCCTAGCTTAGAGGAAGCAAAATCGAATTTGGGAGACTTTGCAACAGTTCCCAATGCCTGTGATAATGAAAGATCGAATAAGTTCTCGGTTCCGGTTACTCCATCACCAACTCGAGGGGCAAGCTGCGTAAAGGAAATTGTACAGTCCACCTCTACTTGAACAGTTCTATAAATGAAGTGGGCAAATTATTATTGCACTGCAGAATTTGAAGAATTTTTAGATTATTTCAAAGGGAAACCAAACTCTCCAAACATGACAATAGCTAGGAAAAAGTAATTTTTGTTTTTTTTTTTTTTTTTTTTTTTTTTTACAACGATCTAGCAGAAAGAATTGAAAGAAGTTGACAATTATAGTTTTGCCCATGCACCAAAAGTTTGATAACAAGAATCATGAACCTGTTTGCTATTTCGTTTTCGTAACGTTCATTTTCTGATTTTGATTCCAGCATTAACTCAAGACTGTCACGACATTTTCGCAGAAAAACAGCTTCTGCATCAGGCCATTTTTCGCATAAAACTTTGATCGACATGCCCAAACTGTAAGAACTGATTTCAATGTTAGAAAAATACAGTGTTTACGACAAAACATACGGAAGGGACAATATCAACATTAGACAAAATTGCATCATGAGAAAAGAAAAAAGATAAAACAACTATTTAATAATACTGTTAACCTACTGGTCAAGATCATCTTCGGTTGCATTTGTCTTCGCAAGGCCACTCTTCCCGAGACTGATAATTGATGCAATCATGAATAGCGCTTCCCCCGCAAATGAATTAATTTTGTCATTTTTATCTAAAACAATTCGCCGAAAAATCAAATTTTGAGATCTGTCACGAATCAAATATTAATAGAGTTTTGTAGTTTTATTCTACTACTGTTTGAATGATAACAGAACATGTATCGTCAACGAAATGAAGAAACTGAAAAACAAACTCTGCATAAAGTTGTTGTAGTTGAAGACCAGTTTGACCAGAGTGGTTGCAAGCGATGAAGCTAGGAAAAAATTTCCATCAAGAAGGAAACGGCGCAACAAAGTTTTATTTTCCGTTATTTCCATTTTTATGGCCGAAAGTGCTGACTGTGTAGCGTAAGTGCCATCGGCAGTTACAAGTTGTCGAATCTGTACCAAAGAATCCAATTGCATTAGATATCAAACACTTGGGCAAGCCGCATTTAGCAAAGCAAAGATAATAAAACTATGAAATAATTCAGATACCTTCGGGGTGACTTCAGTTGCTGAGTTTTCGTTCTTTCCATCTATGACTTCATCACCACTAGCTGTTTGCACTTCCTTTTCTGCAATGGGTAATTCACCGATCGACTTTCGGATGAACTGCATTACTCTCATTACTGATTCAACTGATTCGCAATATTCACCCAAAATCCACAATCCTGACCGAAAAACTTGTGGACTATGTACACTACCAAATACATCCTGCAATAAGACATGAGGTGTTCCGTTTGAAAAGATTCCGAATATGAAGTTCTCGATATGTTATCATTTTTATAAAAAATGGTAAATTTACCAAAAGCTGTGCTAAAACAACTGGACGTAAATGTGGTAAGCGTTGAACAGTTTCTCTTACAAACACCAAAACGTCCTGTGCAGCATTTTCACTATCCTCAGAAAGAAATTCCATCAAAACGGGTAAAATATTTGCTGCGACATCTGGAAATTTGACTGTAGTAGAATGAAGTGTTCGCACAAGCATTTGTCGATATCGTTCTGCCTCCTCCGCTGTTCCATCCGAAGAGTGACCAATTTCCTGGAACCAGTACTTATCGAAAGTACTCAAAACAGACTATCGGTCAACATAAACAAGAAAAAGAAGTTACAGAAAGTCGAAGTGTGCGAATGAAAAAAGCACCATTATAATTAAATGGATGAAATGAAAATTTCGCACACATTTACCAAAATAATGTTAGAATAAGACAAACAACCTTCTTCAAATACATGACCATTTCTTCGACATTACGAGAAGAAACAAGATCCAATGCAAGCTGCAATGTCTTCTTTCGTACTTCAAGATCCGAAGCTGATAATACGCGTAGGACGTCCATTACTAATTCACGCAAAACTTTTTCACTAGTTGGAGAAGAACGCAATTCGACCAGTCGATCCAAAACAATTAACTAAAAATTTCACTTGGAATGTCACAATTAAACTAAAAATTACGCACACTTGTGGTTCTTATCTTTGACCTTAAAGTAAGAATAAAAATTCAGGAATAGTAGAAAACCAGTAATTTCTTTCGAAATAATATACTCTCAAATGCTGCAGCAGAAACCCACTGGAATTTTCCCCATTAGGGGAGTAGACAGTTAGTATCGAAATGCAATTTTTATTGAATGATGTTGAATCCATTTTTTCAACAGAACCTTGACATTATTGTCGGATTCCTTAACGATAAGATCGATATAAGCAGATGCAGCAGCTTTAACAGCAGTAGGGGCAGAGCTCAAAGTGATGAGGGTACCAGCTGCTTCGTATTTTACCGCTGGAGATGAAGATTGCAAGAGATTATAAACACAACGAATGAAGCGTGCTCGTTCTGATGGATTTGCGTGACAAACCTAAAATATGGCGCATGAATTTTCAAGACAAGTATCATATCATAAAGAACAGTGCCAGAATGCAAGAAATGAAAACAGTGATAAAAATTTAGACATTTTATAACAGACTAATTTAAATCACCTTGTAAATAAGTTCCACAATTATAAGCTGAAGAATATCACCAAATGTAGTAACTTGGTCCATAACTTCAGACAAATAATCTAGAGCTCTGCTTTGGTCAACATGAAGGAGCATCATGAAAGCATTTCGTTTGCAAGACGCGTCCTGTTCATTGTTCAACACCGTCGATATCAATTCTGGTGCATCCGGGATGAGGAATTCGAAATTACCTAAAAAATATAATCAAAAGAAAAAGAAATTATAGCATTTTAGATGGTTGCGACATGTTTCTTGAAAGTAAGTGTCAGCGACTGGTAACTTCAAACATACGGTAGATAGTGAATATTGCCAAAACAGCGTTGCGTCGAACATAGGCATGTCGATGCTCGAGACATGAACGAATTGCAGGCATAAGAGGTTCCAGAAGTTCCGGTTCGCGAAGTTTGCATAAAAATCTGTTATAAAAAAACTTTTCCTTACACTCAAATTAACTTTTCTCGCGAAAAAATAATATAAAATCATAAGAAACTTACACCTTCAAAAAACTTATATCTTTCTAAAAGCAAAGCTTTGCCGAGAAAAACAACATGACCACACTGAGAACTAAAACCTATGAAGTCTTCGCATAAATTTTTGATCTTATTGGCAATTACTGGAAATCATACTACTGTTTGGTACCAGCATGGAAGGAGACGACTACTGATTTGACATAAAAAGGTAACAGGAGAATAGAAAACAGGTCATATCTCATATCACGAGATTTTGAAGGACGGGTAGGCCATGATTAGCGTGTGAGTGTATTGTGATCACGTAAAAACTGTGAAAAATGAAGCTGAAGCAATCTTATAATGCTAAGTAATGAAGTAGAATAACAAACCTCAGTGTGGAGCCCCGAATGAATTCATTAGGATGTTGCAAATCTTTGCGGTAAGCATCACACACCAATATCATTTCATGTAGCAATTTGCCATCTGATGCTGTCTGAACAGTTCTCTTGGAGATTAAAGAATCTTGAAGATTAAAGAAACCAAAGATTAACACGGTAATGCAGCCATTCCAACTTACATTTGGTAATGGAAAGAAAACATCAAACTGTGAAACTGTAAAGTGTTGCTTCTATTGAAAAAGGAAAAAAGTATGCTTGAAATATGTACGAGTAACATCAGCCGTGATTCCTCACCATTACGATTATCAGAATCATTGGCAAAACTCATCTATCGGCGGTGGTACAATTGCACATCAAATATATTTCGCAAAAAAGCACTCACGAAATTCACTATTAGATCGGACAAATTCACTACCATTCACCGAACATTGGTAAACTACTCTTTCCATAAAACTCTGCCAACGATCTTTAAATGTTCAAGTTCACCAACAAGTAAAAAGATACAATTAACCTTGGGGACGATTTCGAAGAACAACAGAAGTAACTTTTTGATTGTATGGTCAGATGTGGGCAAACAAAATCGAATCACTTGCATCATCATACCCTGTCCTATCTTTTCGCCATTCATTATCATCATAATCAGTTTCTTCAATGCATCTGTTTTCGATTTGACATCACCTGCAATCGAAAAAATAATTCTTTATGATCTAAAATAAGTTCGATAGAGATAATCGTAAAAGAAAACCGATATAGCTATATCAAATCAATACCAATATTATCCTTATCGGTAGTGTTACAAGTTTCATGTTATACAACCTCACTGTGAGAAAATATTTTTACACACTATACATTCATATCATCACTACATCATCGTCATTATTATTCCGAGTATAATAGGCCATAAGGTACTGAAATATCACCTTTTTCGAATTTCTCTTTCAGCTGCATTTCACTTGGAATTTCGAAATCGCTCGGTACATGGATCAACGTATAGCACGGCAACTCTCCTGATGACATTGTTGCTCACCACTATAACAACGAACTCAGCTGTCCAAAATACACTGCTTAAGATGTGATAGTTACACAGCAAGAATGCGATCTGCAGCTCAGCTCGCACTTAAAAGGCCTATTCAGTTTTACGAACTACAATGTAGCATTCACTATCCCCATAAGATGAAAACAAGTGATAAATGATACGAATCTAATGTGGATCGATATGTCAAAATGTTTTTAACAACGAAATTTTATTAAATTGAAAACAACCAGTCCTAGAATAGTGAACAGAAACGAAAGTAAAGTAAAACAGTAACCCGCCAGAATTACCGCTGGATGGAAATACGTAAATAATAATGTCTACTCACAGTCCGTATGAAACGATTCAAATCGTAACGGTGACGCATCAAAAAGCGCTTTTCATGTTTAAAGAAATATAAGTTGCATGCGCAGTACGCTACTGTAGTAGTCTGGATGTTCATGTTACATCATTGACTCTTTGATCCTTTGCCTCTTCTTCATATCTGTGTAATTTCTGTCTTTTGGTGTCAATTATATGGGAGTGTTCTGAAACTATGTTTGATACCTTTGATCGTTTGACATCCTAATTGTTTACATCTCTCATTTCAATAATTCACTTAAAATTGTTGAAATTATAGCTTGATACTGACACTGGGATAGTTTGTTGAATGTATAAAGTGCAGACGACCAACATTCACTGAATGAATGGCAGCCGTTGCATCGGAATATGTTTCCGTAAGTTTTCTCTATTATGTCCATTCGGAAATCATATCTCTTTAAGATGCGTACTAGATTGGTAAGTAGTTGAGAACAAGGGAAGGTTACTTCCAGTTAATCACTGTAACGGATCTTGGGTAGGTTTCAATTTCTTGGAAGTGATCATAGGTGTAAAATGAAGATTCGGACACACACACATCTGCAGATATAGTGCGTTTTAATTGATATATCATCATTTTAGCATGTTGTTTAGATCGAATCGACGTATGTATATTTTGGGACTTTGAAACTTCGAGTAGTAAAACCTACTGTTGTGCACATAAATCATATCGTAATCAATGTATACGATGTGAATAACGCGCAGAGGCTTTCCATACAGATTGCCTCCAAACATATCTGTAAAGCCTTGGTAAGTCACTTTAATATAATCATTATAATCATTCTACTCTTCGTCTAATATGTAAGTACTACACCTTTGAACTTCAACATCTTACCGAAGTGATAAAATCATGTTGAATTGCAGAAATTGAAACTACTAAGAAGCATTAAGACCAAGTCTAAATGATTTAAGTCATTTTTAGGCCGTCTTTGTTTGTCCTTACCTTTCTAGTGCTTGCAGCTTTGTCACAGTGGTCAACATAAAGCAATAGCTTTTTTGGTCAACCGATTTTGTGCTGGCAAAATTCGAGAAACGCTGCACATCGCATCAGTACCAGAAGCAACTATCGGCAAGAGTGCTCCGTATTTCGATTCAGAAAGTGCACGCGTTTGCCAGAGGTACATTTTGACTTGTGTTTTTGGATTTTCGAGTATGAAAATATCTTGGAAGAGAAATTTAAATAATTGTCCAACTAGACTTGTTTGATTTTATTAAGGTAACCTTGAAGATTTTTTGTCTCCATTTTTCTATTTCTTCTTTATCCTTTTTATTGTGAGTAGCTTTTTCCGCGACACATGGCGTTGTCGAAAATTTTTTTCGCTTGGGATTCATTATGTTAAGTGATGAGAATGATGGTTTTTAATCGGGAGAGTGAGGAAATGAAAATTCCCTGTATTTACTTCACATTAGTTTAAAATGCAATTCCAACTTAGATCATTAAGGAACGAAGTGTTTTAGAAATAGAATGTCAGTTTGTGCAAACTAATATTTTTTTTAAGGTATATATTGGTTGATATAACAAGATGTACTAAGAACGATATGGATTTATTAAAACAGGTTTTACGCTTGGTGGAGGAAACCAAATTACTTTTCAAAGCTCAAAATATCGGGCAAAGGGTAGTTATAAATGCACCAACAGGAAACTTTTTCGGTAAATTTTATCCACCTTCATTGTTACTTGATTTAAAAGAAAAAAAAAATGATTCTTGGCAGAACTAGAGAACACATACTTGGCTTCCTTACTACAGTTTTATATTGGGGTAATTGTAAAACATTTCCAAAATATTGAATGAATCATTTGATTATTGGCATAAACTTAAATTTATGTATTTACGACTCGTGGCCGAATACTCCAAAGTTTCCTGAGACGGGAATATTTGGTTTCATAATGAAAATATGTTTGTTACACAGGAGATATGGATGAAAATGATTTCGTAACTTTGATGCGAGATATTGGATTGAGTGTGAGACAGGTGTCGGGAACTTTACCGAATCTGGAATCACGCCTAATTGACAATAATGCATCTAATGCCGCTTCTACGGATATCTCTTCACAACCGTCACAGATATTTCTTCATAGCCAGCCGCACGTATATATCAGCAATCGATGCTCGTTATCAGCTGTAAATTACTTTGTTGTGAAAGAACTGAGGCGAATCAAGTGGGAATAATCTGGAAATTTCGAACACTAAAAAAATTGCCAGTAACTGTAATTTAAGAAACATTGTTTCATATCTTTGACAATTGCAATCAATGCGTTTTTTAAAATTCGTTTTATTGTAACAGTGTTCAACAATGGGATTAAAGTATTAAAATACAATGGAATCCGTGTTTCGGAAACTTTAAGCGAGTCGAGAAGACACGTTGTCGTCCGATAATGACTAGCCAATCCAGATCATAAAACTGCATACATCGGATGAGAAACGATATGTATTGATAATGACATTTCAGATTTTTTCCAGGAATTTATTACATTGTTTATATAGTTTTGACAGTGATTAAACAGTTCTAGCAAGGGAAATGCACTGAAATTTTTTTCAGGTCCACTCACAGGAAATTACCAAACCATCAGACGTTCAGCAGCTCAGCGGCATCGCATACCATCAGTCTAATCCAGCGTGTGTAGTGCAGCATCGTCCAATCACTGTTAACATTGTACGTGTAGCACAGCCTCGATACGTTTCATCATCAGGTTCCTCTCCTGGTATCCATGTGAGTTTTCATTTCGTTTGATTTTTCTTTCTTTTTTTTTTAAATAGACTTGTCACAGTTCTTGTTGATTTAGTGCAAAATATTTCCAAAGCTTTTGTGAATTGAACCTTCTTCAGCCATTATAATTACTGACTGTGATAGATTAATACCAAATTACTTTTACGCTTTAATTGACCTGAGCTGGATCTTTGAGTGGATATTAATCTGCAGTTTTCTGTCAAGTTGTAAGAGCGTTTGACCTCTGCTATTAAATAATTCATGAATCAGAAGTGTAATTGTAATCCAGTCAAACTTCTTAAGGTATCTCATAGACGTAGCTCTGTCATAGCTCAGCCAATCACCTCGCCGCGGAATACACGTACTGTCGTCCGACCGCCAACCAAGAAGGTCTCGGTTTTGATGCACACGGGTGCACAATCACGAATCATCAAACAGCAGTTGAATGTTTCTGAATTGTCCTTGAGTGCTACATCCAACGAACCGTCAACGTCACGCTGTGGGATGCCATCAGAAGCGAAAATGTCCAATCAAAGCTGTAAACGAATAGTGCATGTAATTGATGATGACGACGACGAAGGTGGTCCCGTATGTCTCTAGACTATTTATAGAAAAACATTAATGTTCGTTTTTCTGCAAAAACTGGAGAAAGGATAAGCCTCATTCTTGAGAATAGAAGACCTGAATTTTAGAGTTGTTTAACACAAAACTCGCAAGTACACTATTCTTTTGCTTTCACATCTACTAAATTTTGTTTAAACGAACTGAATGTATATTTGATTCTTAAACTACATTTTTTAAATGAACTGTAGGTTATGTGCTTTCGGTAGAGATTTTCAGTTTTTTAATTATTTTCATCTTTGTTTATAGAGTTAGCAAATGCTCCGTACAGGAATTTTGAGGTCTGAATTAAATAACGTGATCTGTTACCTGAACTGATCGAATGTCTTCATTATTCAATTTAATTGTTTAGTATTAATTACCTTTCCAAGCAATGAATCAGTCAATAAATTATACAAACTAACGATGACTGAACGTGATCTTTTTGGGTTAGATGAGAAACAGCTGTGACCATTTGTGATTACGGTAACTCATTGGATTAGGATTCACCTGTTAATCGGTTAATTTCATCTGTAAACATACCAGCTTAAAGTGAGATGTAGTTTGATTAAACATCGTACATTTATTCTCATCGAAATTTGAAGGTAGATTTTGAAGGGCTAATTTTTCTGGGGAGGATCTAAGGCTACCTGCACCATAGGTTTAAAATTTAAGGAAGCAAAGTAAATATGATTTTTTACAGAAATATCGTGCTTCCAAGCAAATCTCTATATCACAGTATTAGGAACCAATGAATTTTAACTATTTTGTATGAAAAATCACCTCTCTTTTTTCTAGTTGAAACTTACAAAAGGACCAAATTTGGATTTGTTATTAAATTATCCTCGTGATCAGCCAGTCATATCAATTCACTATGCTGATGTGGAATATTTAAGACCAAACGAAATGTTAAATGATACAGTCATAGAATTTTATTTGAAATACATACATATGGAATTAGTGTCATCGGAAAGGTAAACTAGTAGCATTTGTCCATTTATTTTTTAATAGTCCATTTGCGGCATTTTCTCTTATGACTGTGATGGTCAGGGAAATTCGTAAACCTCCTTTAAAACAAAACTGAACTTTGTTTATCAAGCACAGTAAGATTCAACAATTTTATTTGAAATACATATTTGTAAATTTGCAATTTTTTCCAGGCGTCCATCCATCTTTATATTCAACTCCTTTTTTTATTCTCGGTTAACACAAATGCCACCTGCTGGTTCCGGTGTGATTCGTACCATTTCTTCCCGCGCAAAATGGGTCAGTATATTGGTTGGAAAAGTTTGCCTTTATATTACCATGACTATATAAATTATGGTTTAATTTGTCTGCGACTGAAAAGAAATAGCAGTTTGGAACATCTGACACAGATACGTTCACAGTGTTGTAATAAGGAGAATTACTGGATACGGCTAGATAAGTCGAACAAGTCGTTTCTAACGTAAAGATCATTCCGCTGTGCTGGAAGCAAGATTCATATTCTTATGCTTTTCAATATATTACTATTACAATAGAACATTGTTTTTGTTCCATTTCCTTAGTCACTCTTTCCAGATCGCCGAAAACTATAAGGGAGTGCGAACGTGGACAAAAAATGTGGACATTTTTAATGCTGATTATATTGTTGTTCCCATTGTTGAAGATATCCATTGGTTAGCCTTTTTCTTCTGGGTTTATATGAACTGGCTAGAATCTTCCCTTATTTTCACCTACTTCAAAAGCAAATTCACAAATTCAGTTTCCACTGATAACTTTGCCTCCGTAATTAACGGATAACGGGATTAAAGTTAAGGTGAATATTCTTAACAATATGATGAATCAATTTGAACTTTGAAATTTCACTCAGCTCTTTGTTATTTGAACTTTGTCAAAGTAGCCAATTTCAAATACTGATGTTGCAAATTATTTTCACTCACAGGTACTTAGCTATAATCACCTTTCCTCGATACTCTATTGTAAATCGTGTGCCAGAAACAACAAATCACAAGGAGAATAGTGTCATACCGAAAAGCTTAAGGAAAACATGTATTATTTTACTGGATTCATTGGCGGATGCTGCGGATATGAAGAGGTGCAACTGTTCCATAATAAAGATCCTTATACAAACTGAAATTTAGCATCATATTAAAACTCACTGGATGTATTGATTGTGGACATGGTCATTTAAGTGAAGTACCAATGATCTTTAATGTATTAAGAATAGTTTGCAGAAAATTAACGGTCCCTGTTCTGAGAGAATATCTTGTTTGTGAGTATGAAGATAAAAGAAAATTGAAGGATGGAAACACAAAGTACTTTGCTAAAGAATTAATTGAAAAGGTAAAGTTTTCTATGCATAGTTTTACTTTTGCGACATTTTATCAAATTTTTGGTCGTGCATAGCTTCAAATTTCGATTTTTAGACGTTTCATAAAGTTACGAAATTATCCAGACGCTTTAGATTGTTCCGTTTCCTGTTCCTCAGCAAAGAAACTATACAGATTGCGGATTATTCCTTTTGAAATTTGCCGAATGTTTCTTGCTGAAACCACCGTCGGTGAGCATCTTTCGAGTTTAAGCAATATAAAATGTAAGTAGTGTGATCGTAATGTTGTAAAAGCATCTCTTGCAGCAAGAAAACTGAAGTGAAATAGTGGAATATCATAAGTTAGTGAATACTACTATTTTGAGGGAGTATTATTTCTTTTGATAGTAGTTCACTTTATCTGTTCTCACAGATTCTGGAATGTTATAATTCTTAATGGTAATTTTTAAAGATCTAAGCCGGGCAGTTTCTGGTTCTCCTTCCACTGCACAATGCGGAGGGTTTATATTTGCAGTGAAAAGGAAATCATTGTGATGAGTATTTTGGAAAATTTTGTTTTCCAGTTTATAACTCGGAATGATTCATTTCGACGATGGTATCCAAATTTTACAATTAGAGGCATGAGGAGGACTATTCTTACGAAGCTAAAATCAGCATGCGATGACGAAGCATGGCGGGCATATGAAGAATACTCTAGAAATCGCGATATAAACAGTCAATCGGTTGAAGATATCCTTTCGAAGCAATCAGCCTGTAGTCGTTCACGTTAGTTATTGAATACAAAACAAATTAATTTACATGTTGATAATTTTTGCTTCTTTTCTGTTGACTGTGTGAAGCTTTAAGCTTCACCCGCAGCATAATGAAATTTGTGTTGGAATTTTATAGATCACGATAAGTTTCTTTAACCTTTCTTCATCATTTCAATACTAATTACGATTCCAGCATCACCAGTCCCGCGCCGACGAACACTGAGTACTGGAGATTGTGATGTTGGTTGGAGTGGACATTTTAGACGCAGACGTTCACTTCCTGCTCGCCTTTCTTGTTGATTCTTATTTGCCTTTTCTTTCCAAATTTTAATTTATTTGAACATGAAACAGCAGTGCGAAAAATTATTGCTGCTTTTATAAACGAATCTACAGGTTTCTCTGGTGCACTATTTAGCGATTATTTACTCTTTATTCAAAAATTCAGGTTTCAATTTCAAACGGCAATGGATAAAGCATTCAAATAGGTTTCAGGATGCTTAATTTAATTAAGTTAGGAATCGTAAAATTGTGCAGTAAAAAAGGTTAAACGTAAGATATAAAGTGGTTTATTAATAAGAGCAATAAATCTAAATTATCAACAATGCGCGCCGCAAGCGTATTACTGTATAAATATCTGAATCAGTCATAAATTATTTAAAAATCGGAATACGATGATGCTAGAAATACAGTGCTTCAAAACTGTTAAGAAAATGATGGGAGATTTCTTATATTGTTCTTCAGTAATTTTAATCTAATTAGCAGTTCTTCCTCTCTAACTGTTGATGGATGCAAATGTTGGCTTAGGCAACAAATGCTGATTTCTGTTGTTTCAATTATTATATTCGAATAAATTACCGGGTGCTGAAAAGTACTTAGGGAAAAAAAGATGCTACAAGAGAAGAAATGAAAGGCACAAGATGAACTGGTGTGAAAAGTGCGATTTTCTTTTTAAATCGTTGAAATTTTCATTTGTTCAGTATTTAATTTGTATATTGTTAGCAATCATTGCGGTAATAGTTTTATTGAATTCATTAAAATATTGTTGGTTGTGTTACTTAACATTTGATTTTGACGATGTTTTTCGTTGGTTCTATTTGAAAACGTCACTTAAAACATTGGTGTATTTTCATAGGGAAATCGTTTTCCAGAGCTTTTCAAATTGATTTTACACTTTGTCAAAGTTTCAGATGATTTCAAACACGCGTATTAAAAATGGAAGTGCTCTGCGGAAGGGCAGAAAAATTAAAGCAGGAAACTATCGATCCTTCTTTTACCTTATTTATTACGAGGAACTGTTCTAGTTTATGCTTTAGGTAGAAAGTAAATAGTACTTAGTGCTGTCAGATTCAAGTTATGTTTCCAGTCATTTCTCTTGTGGGAAATTAGTCTAATTTATGAAGTTCCATCTTTTTTCTTTCCAGAATTAGTTTCGTTTCAAGTTATCTTCGGTTATTCATCATGTCTATTATGAGCTATAGTGGTGGTACTATTTTGGCAATGGCGGGAAATGATTGTGTTTGCATTGCTTCTGATTTACGACTTGGTGAGCAAATGACCACAATTGCTACGAATATGAAGAAGGTCAGTTTTTCAGTGTTTCCGTAATAAAGTACTGTTAATTTCAGAATGCATATTCCTTCTGGAGTATGGGGAGAAATGGGAATGAACACGAAATTCGTTGGGTTTCGAGTTAGTTGATCAGTAGACCTGCCTAATTCTGTTTCATTTTCTCTGCCAAGATTTAATTCTTTCATATTGCAGGTGCATAAATTGGGCGAAAAAGTTTATATCGGTTTAGGTGGATTTCATTCAGATGCTAAAACAGTTCTTGACAAAATCACTTTTCGGAAGAATCTATATGAATTAAGAGAGAATCGGAAGATAAAACCCGAGGTAGGTGTAGAAGATTTTAGAGAAGTGTAGCATTGAACGACAACACATCTTTCCAACTATTAAACATATAAAATGGAGATGATTCAAAAAGGAGGCTGTTTTGGATTTCAGGAAATGTGTGCTTTTATCCACTAAATCTGATTTTCAGGTAGCAGCTGTGATGGTATCGAATCTGTTATATCAACATCGATTTGGTGGTTATTTTACAGAACCATTGATAGCAGGGCTCGACCCGACGACTAATAAACCTTATATTTGTGCCATGGACACTATAGGTTGCATCTCTGCTCCCAACGACTTTGTTGCCGTGGGAACGGGGACTGAATATTTATTAGGCGTCTGTGAAGGTTATTTTGTTTTGTATTATGGGGATTGCATTCGGCCAACTGATGTATTTATGTGCACCATATTGTAGGCTCCTTCCTCATACAAGATCGATCAAAATGATAACTCTGTAGCTTGAGTTCCTGCATTTTCGCCAGAGCTAAGTGAAGAATTCCGGGTTGTTCACTTGAAAATTAACCATTCGTGAGAGTCTTATGGTTTTTACTTTGCTGAAACTTTAGGGTTCTGGAAAGAAGGTATGAATTCTGACGAGTTATTTGAAGCAACAGCGCAGTCAATGCTATCTGCAATGGAACGTGATGCCGCTTCCGGTTGGGGTGTGATCGTTTATACAATAACTAAAGATAAAGTTAATGTAAAAACAATCAAAGCTAGGATGGACTAAAGCTGCAGAAAGACTGTCCAATTCCCCTTAACTTGCATCCAAGTTTTTTTGAAAATTTGTGATGCTCCATGGATTTTTTTATTGTCTTTAATAATAACGGCTAATGCCACACTGCAGAAGTACACATGGACTTCTTGAAAACAGCTCACATCAGCCAAAAGTTGGCAAATCAGGCCGAAGACTTTGTACTTGTTTAATTCATATTTAAAACAAAAAGAAATTTCTTAAAATTTCTTTACACTGTTGTTTGGTTTTCTTTTATTTTATTTCTGCATCAATAAAGACTTACTGATTTATACACTGAATAAATTTACAAGGAAAAAGTTGTATGAAACCGTTCAACGGGGAGTGTTCAGCAGCATTAAAATACATAGTTCAGCACAGATAAAAAGTGACCCTAACTCTCATTTTTCTTACTGAACGGTTTTTAGAAAACTGTCGAGGTCATTTCCTTAATCATCAATATCATCTCGCAGTTCAACAAATTTTCGAGGCTTCCGTTTGTAATGAATGTGTTTCACAGAAATGACACTGAAAGGGGTTTGGAGTGGACTAAGGAGAGAGAAAGTAGAGTGGATTAAAGTGAGAGAAAGTATGTAGAAGCACCTATAAGAACCTAATATTATCGCGCCACCTACGATAGAGTCACGTGGTCATTTGGCCTGGGTATGGATCAGGTCGATTTTTTCGCATCAGAAACTGTATTTTCCTTCGCATATCTTCATTGATGATTGCTTTTGAGATTTCTCTAGACAATTCATTCCGCTGCATGTATGGTTTTCGGTAATATCGTGTTTTTCGCAGGATATCCAGTAGACCTTCATTGTTCATTAACCTGAACTGCAATATAGTTACAATCCATGTTATACAAATAACAGCACAGAATCAACAAATAACTGTTCATAATTGTCTGAATATACAGTGATGCTTACTGATTACACATGGAAGCATTACAGAAAGGAAACTGAAGGAAAGCAAATGAAGTTATCATATTCAGGGATTTGAGACTTTATTATTTCAGTTCTCCTTTCCCACTGCTCATTAGTCGCATAAATCTAAAGCAGAAATTCCCTACATAATACCCGACTTAGTAAGCAACAGCAGAATGACGAAAAAAACCTGTTAAGTAAATGGAAAGCTGCTGTGACATCGTTGTTGACAACAAGGACCGTCTTATTGAGAAATCGTGGATGTGCGTGGTGGATATTCCAGAACAGCTTTATGCCGAAAGGTTGTTTTAATGTCCCACGCCAACACCGCACCATCCTGAAAACAACTTGGAGAGTAAGTACGAACCATTGGAGGGAAAGACCCTTGCAAACTGTTATCATAACATTCAGAGTTGAGTTACGATGATTGGTCACTGCGCAAATTCACGAGAAGTCTGGTTTCTGTTCTTTATTCAGGTGGCAGAAGCAATCTTCGTAACTGTACGATTCAAGAAAGACTGGTGAAGAGGTTTTAAAACTTTTTGAAGATTCAGAATATATGATGTTTGGTGAAATCTGGTTGAAAAAATACAAGACGGGAATTAGCACAATTGAACCCGTGCTGAAACAAGAAGTCTCTCAACAATTTTGAGACTCAAAACAGTCGTCCTTTTTTCTGTCCGCCTCACAATCTCAGCATTCAAATACTTATTTGAGCTCTTTGTAGTTATTAAGTCTTTGCCATTTCAAGACTAATTTTGGACTATAGCTTCTTATTAGCTTCTTATTATTCCCATCAGTTCGTATCTTTGTTTATCAGTCTAACTGCAACATACTTTCAATTTCACAATATGATATGATGTTAGAATTAACAATTTTGCAACCTAAGCACTTTCGAATGTATTTTGTAGTGACTATTATGAAGTGATCATTCGTTTTAAATTTATATAATTCTCATTTCTTATTTCATGACATATAAATACGCTGTTCAATTTCTAAGATGTGATTATCAGTTCTTCATAATCAAAAGATGATAATTAAGAAGAAGTGACCATTGGTTCGTCATCCTTTCCACCTGAAGTTTCATACATAACAAAGCAATTTTTCCGTCCAATACAAAGTGTCTACTTGTATATCGCTTCCTGTTAAACAGTACTTGTTCATATCTTTCTAAACGACAGATATGTTTATATGTTTTTGCACTTCCGCTCCCTTGATCGTCGAGTCAGTTGCGGTACTTATCATCATTCATTCTTCACTCTTTATCGTCTTTTTTATTCATTAATGAATTTCAAACTAAAACATTCTGTTTATACTTGCATAATGTTGAGAAAATCCAAAGTTGACTATGCTGCCGAAGTGGAATGTATTTCGAGATTAATCAGTCGATTATTAAAACGACTTTTCGATGAAATTTATTACACTTTCTTCTTCCGAGCTCATAGGACTTCTCCATCATTTCTTCGGTTGTTTATCACGTTGAATGACGACAACAAGTGGTTGAGCCATTAATGAGTGTAGAAGTGTATGTGTGTTAAAAGACATTGTTTTAAGAACCGAGTGACGTAATCCACTTGCTGCATCCTCTTCATTTCAACTGAAATCATTTAGTTTAGCTCGACTCATTTCATTTGCATTTGATTATGTGTTCTGAATCTAGCACTTTGAAATGGCTAATCCCACTTCGTTCCCAATTCATTTTCACTCAAATTTATTTCGGTCGAATCGTTGCAGTTTTATTTTTCGTTCCTATTCATTCTTTACTCCAATGATGTCAGGACGAAAGTTACATCCCTAGAAGTGTTCGAATATCATATCAATATAGCGCGAAACAAAAAAGTCAGAATCGGACAATGAAGTAAAACTGATCCATTTTGTGCACCAAAAATTAATTTTAATTCAGTAATTTTTCCATGTTTTCATGTGCTCAAGCTATCTCTCTTATCATTGAAGCTCATAATCCTTTGACTTCAAACATAGGTTACTGATTTTGCGTATCAACGTCCTGAAGAAATTCGTTTTCCATTCCTTCGGTAGCAGTTTTAGCCAGCATTTTTGATTGATTTAAACTCTCAGAAGTATGATTATTAACAAAAATCTTTTCAAAATGACCAAGAACAGTACAGTGCTTTCTAACTCTCAAATGTTGCCTCCGAAACAAGTATACTTTAAGAGTTTTTTCCAACTTTAATAGTACATCCTGTGCTGAAGCAACCAGTGTTTGTGGAACATTCCAGGTCTATTACTCGGGCCTCACTTTTCATCTGACAACTTGTTTTCCCTTTTTTTTAAATGTTGTCCTTCAAATTGAAAAAGTGGAACCCATCGAAGTAATCACATCACACCTATGATATCACGTTAAAGTGTCAAGTCAAAATGAATTGTTCCATCTCAAACTGCTCTGTCTGAATGCGATGACATGAGACACGATTGAGGTATTTGTTGATGACCGATACCACCACCATGTATACATGTTTGTCTATCCGTGTCCATACATCTAGCACGACTGCTGATACGGCCATCAGCAATATATAAGGTTTTGGCAGTGGTGAGAAATGTGTTAATACAAACATGGGCGACGATTTGTTAGCTAGATCCTTTGACAGGCCATAGGGGCTATTCTGATGAAGCCTTTTAGCTCAATTCATCTAGCAGTCACAATATGCTGTTTGCTCCAAATTTTCCAATTCCTCGAACTGGAAATTTTTTTAGTGAAATGACTTGGTGAATGGCGTTGTTGGAGAATATTTATTTTTCGGAATCTATAGCATTAAGTAATAAGAATAAAGTAGTAAGTTAATTGGGAAGAGTTGGAATTATTAAAAAAATAAAAAGTGTAGATTTAGAAAAGAAACAATGGCCTCTATCTGAATTGGTGCAAGGACAAAAGTTGCAAGAAATTAATTGAAGGTCGAATCTCTGACTTCTTTTTAAGAGGTATTCATCACATTTTGTAATTTTTACTTAAGACACTTACCGGATTGTGATGATTTTCTGAATTATTTCGACATAAAATTCATCAATTCCAGAATTTTCACTAGTCCATACGAAAATATTCCAATGCTATCTTGTTCTGAGCTCAACTAACTCCTATTTTGCTTTCTTCTGAATCTAGACATATTCTTTTGCTCGAATTCATTTGCTGCTCGAATTGCAGTAATTTGCCTGGTTGTCACTGTTGGGCAAAACTGCTGAAACGATATGATTTCTCTGCTGTTGCTTCATTTTATTTAAAACGCTTCCGATGATTAAGAACAGTTCGCAACTTCAAAACATATACCGCAGCAGCAAATGGATTATTGATGTTTAACTTTTTGGATTTCGTATAGAAACTGCGATGATCTTTCAACGGAATACTTTAAAGTCGGCATGCACTGTAATAATTTTTCCATTTTTTTTTCCATCCAGAAAACTCACATTTTTTAGAATTATTAGAAGAAACTCCGAGAAACTCGCTTAGAATTGATGGCATTGAAAAAATATGATGGAACAGTGACTTCTCACATGGAACAAAATTGAAGACAAACCTTAAATAAATGGTTGAAGTACTTAAGGACAAGTAAGTTGTGCATATTTTTATTTTTGAATTCAAAGAATAGCCGAGTTCCTTGAAAACTGAAAGATGTCGCAAATTCAGATGGATAATTCGTAAATGTGCAGTTTGCACGTAGATGAATGTTTGGAAAATATGAAAGGGAATAATTTGAAATAATAACATTTCATATTGAGTCAAGTCAACATTTTTTGATTCTGTTCTTGAATCTTTCATGTCATCGCAAAACAATGTTATTCTTAAATCTAGTAACATTGGGGAATTGAATGTACTGAGCAGAAGGTTGGTAGTGCACTTAATTACCTTTTCAAAATGTTTTTTTTACCAATCGGAAAGCACAGAGATAACCAACTGGTCTACTCTGTGAGGATCAAAACATTTGGATAAATTAATGTAAAATAGCAAACAAGCACCTGTTGCTGCATTCCGACGTGCGTTTGAATTGAAGTTATCGATTTTATTCATTTTTTTGTCAGTGTGTTTTTCGACGCGTTTGCAGTGAATGTTTTAAAATTTATCATTTTATAGTCTTTTGTAGAAGTTCTACTACTTTATTTTATCGGATGGGATTTTCGAGTGTGAACTGAAATTAACACTTGCTTAATTTGATTTTATCACCCATTCAATATTATAAGAATACAAACTGATCAGGTTAGTCATTAGACTTGCTCAAACACACTTCTTACAAGACAAAGATATAAATGAATCGTTCTTTTTTCTGATATTTTTTTGTGATAATTTGAATTACCTCTTACCCAAATCCTATGGATTACGCAATGATGAATGCAACTGGATGTGAAACTTACTAAAATTTCAACTCTTGAAAAAAGGGACTGTATCAAAAAACATCATCTTAAGGTTGTAAATGTCCCAAAGAAAAACTTTTTCCCGTAGAACTTGTAAAAATAGTGAATAGTTATTTGCCAGTTGATTTGAAAGTCTCAATTAAAGCACAAAGCATTTCCATCATCTTTTTCGATTAATCACTCCTAGTCTTTGCAATTTGCGAAAGTTCTATTTAAAAATAATCCATTTCGAATTTTGTTTTATTTGCAACTGGTTGAAAGGTGCTTTTTTCATACAAGATCTGTTTACTTTATGGAGTGAAATCATCTATTTTCAAAGTGATACAAATTATATACCTGTACATCCACTTCTCACACCAAAATTTATTTAAGTGCAGCGCCGTTGATCTGATGGTTAACCATAAGGATAATGCGAAAGTGTTTGAACAGAGAATGAACATAACTTCAGGAAATATTGCTTTTTTTTTGTTTCAAAGTGTATTTCTCGCAAAATTTGCGCAGACGGACAACGTTGGTGAAATTTATTCAATTATTGTTTTACGCCCACTCCTTGTACCGTTCCCCTTTTGCCCTTCCATATGGATTTCATAGCTACCTCCAAAATACTACAGTTACTTTCTTCCATTTTATTTTTCATCTAAAATAAATTGGTTGAGTGATATCGTTCTGTGATGTGAATGAACATAAAACATTTTGTACCTATCTTTTAAATTCTGACGTTCCGTTATTTTTGTTGGGAGTAAAGTTAGAGTCTTCATACATTCCTCAGATGCATTGATGCATTTCATTCCAGCGTTTCATTTATCTAGAATTAAACTAGTTTTTTTAGGAATTCATTTTAACTTTGCAGTATGTAAAAAGGAATGCATCACTTTCATTTCACTTTCATTTCATGTCTTTTAAGCAATTTAACTGTCGTTTGAATAGAATGAGGGATCAAAAGCTTTTCATCAAAAAAAAATTTGTCCTTCAACATAGTTTATACGTTATGATCATTCAATTTAAATCATTCAATTTGAAATAGTGATAATCTGCAGAAAATGTGATGATATCCAGCATACTTGTAATACAGTTGTTTAAAACAATTGAACTACTGTTGCAGTCACTTTAATTGACACCAAATGATCAACAACAATAAAATGACAGTTATAGTATAGTGGAAAACTAACGAACTAAGATAATTACAATAGAATATGTCTTTGTGTTGCAAACCATAAGTTCATCTCAGCACTGAAAGAGACTTACTTTACCGTCTTATGTGAAGTTCTTTGTACAACCAGCAACTTTCACCCCATTAAAGTCGTACATTTCGTATAGTTTGGTAGCTTTAAGCAGATGACATTTGTTTTGTTCGCTTCCGAATATTTTGGTGAATATTGCGAGTGGAGAAAATGCATTTATTATGCAGCTTTGTAACTGTTTCTAAATGCTGTAAGAGTTCCAAGAATTTGAAGAATGTTTCTGTAAAACTTTCAGAAATTTCAACACCTTTAAATAATGCAAAAAAATTGATAGATTTGTCATTTTGCAAAACTTCCAAAGACTTTTTTCTGCGTTACTTCTTTCCAATTTTTTTCATATTGTTTTTAGTGATTATTTCTGTAGCGTTCACAATGCAACGATTTTAATACAAGCAGTGTTAATTTCAGTTCACACTCGAAAAGCCCATCCGACAAAATAAAGTAGTAAAATTTCTGCACAAGAGCACAGAATGATAAATTTTAAAACATTCGCTGCTAAACAATACTTTCCCAATATTCTTGGTAATTGAACCTCTTCACTTATTTTGTAACGGAACGATGTCACTTGTTACAAGGTAAGAAAACTGTTAAGTTGTGAAATATCCGATTGAATCACTCATCCGCTACGCATGCGTCACTTAGTGGATATCAAAAAGACTTTTTCTAAATTTGTTTCTTAACTTCATTTGCTTCTATTTGATGAGAGGAATGCATTACACTCCCATTACACCTTTCTTCTTGCTTTCATTTTCCGAAAGTAAGGAGCCAACATTTAATTTCGAAAACTGATAGCACGAAATAGAACAGATACCGTGGAAGAATCTTGAAAACATCAAAATTTGACATTTTTTTTGACTTCGTATATCATCTATTCAATTCAGCGCTTGAAAAGTCCTCTCATATCGTTATAATCGCCTTTTCTCCTTCCACTAATCACCCACTTTTTTCATTCGGCCCTCAAATTCGGAATCGGGAATTATCAAATGATTATAGAATCTGTCATTCCATCCAGCAAGCGTTTTCTTCGAGCTGAAATGGTCTCCAACTTCAAAATAAAGTGCACTTGTTTGTCAACTTCCGCTTCTAACCAGAACTCTTCAGCTCTTATCAGGTTTAATGTGTCAACAGCCTTTCAAATTAGAACCTTCCACCCATTCTCCCAACTTCCCTCAATTTCTCTTTTGCGCTATCTAATCTCAATCTTTGACATTCTCAATCTCAAACTACGCGTCTATTTTGCAATCTCTCCATCATTAATCATCTTCGAAAAGTGTGTTCTCTTCCTCGTCAGTATATATTCTGTCTCGACAAAAAACTCCGCTGTACATCCGGGATTCATTCATTGGATGGACTGGTCTTTGGGATGTTAGGATGAAATGTCTGAGGAACAGAAGTATGTTTTGTGAAATTTCGGAATGGAGAGGAGAATGAGAGCGGAGTATTGATTTATACGGATTTACCATTAATGAACTCAACAAATACCCACTTCTTTAAATATTCTATTCCATCACCTAGTTGGATTCCATTTTGAGTCAACAATTCACACTTATTTTACATTTGATATTATTTTCCAAACTTCAGTTCTTGCTCTTTGAAGGTTTATTTTTGCATGTGGAATAATAAGTGATGCATTTTAGGGGAAAGAAGAGGATGAAATCAGGCACCTCTCGGTTATTCGAACTTTTGCCAGATCCATATGACATCTCGCAAAGACGATTTTTTCGGGTTTGTTTGTTTACCGATGTGAAGAATGCTTCTGAGCTGAGACAAGCAGTAATGAATGGATCAATCGATGCCGCTTTGATCAAACCTGAATTGGTAATTATTTTGTTGTCTTGTTGAATAACTGTTTGACTTCGTTTCGTCGATCTCCTCCTTTCCCTTAGTTCGTTGGTCTATGCTGCTGCTACTGATGAAGTCGCCGTAGTCAACCGAATGAATGAAAAACTTTTCCTTCTTCACTATTGACTATAGTCTCTTTTATAAATTTTTCCCTTTGCTAATCTGACCGCTTTTACCATCGGTATGGTAATGTTGACTCTATTTCCCTCTAATGAAAACGCTTAATGACTGCTCTATCTACTTGATTAATCTTTACTGCGTAAATAAATAATTTTTTTCAAAATGGAATACGGATAGATAATTTACTGTGTACATCTACAAGGATATAATTTTCGCTTCCTAAATTGTTATTTGTTAAATTCAGTTCAACAATCCAAATATAGGCCATTGTGTTTGTCTACTAATTAAAGCTAACGCTTGACATCAAAAGTATACGAAATTTACAAGTTCTGTTGCACGACAAGTATTCATTAGTGTTTTGCTTCGTTTATTAATTAACATTACTATCAGCATTATTGAAATCTGTTGTAATATTTTTTTCCATTCGTATTAATGTTAATGGATAGAGCTTTTCTGAGCAAGTAACAGGATTTCTTGTTTCATCTATCATTCGTTTGAAACGGGAGGTTTGTCTAGGTTTTGGAAGTTTTCACGCTTTTGGCAGCAGCAAATAAGGCTGTCCACCAGGCTGCACATAATCGACTTTCAACTCGAACTCTTCATGCTGAATTGATATACTCGTTGTCACCCGACCGGAACGTAAGTTAATATTTGTTGTAATTTTTTTAATAATGATTTATTTCAGTCATCTTTTTCGTATTTTTTTTTATTAAGATGTAGAAAATCATAAGCTTCAATATTTTTACTCTTGTCAGGATGAAGCAAATAGGAAGTGAGAAAAACTGTAAGCTGGGACTTTAAAGTATTTTTTGTCTAAATTTTAGACAGAGCTTAAATTTTGCATTATTTTTAAAAGAAAGAATCGCTGTATTATCGTTGCATTCTATTTAATTCAGAAATTGAAATATTGATATCTGTAGATATTAGAATCATTATTAACATTTGGTATTGCGGAAGAAAGTCGTAACCTTTTGGTTGGTATTTTTGACGACGAAAATGGTGAAAAAATGGTTAAAATGGCAAAGAAAATTGATGGTAAGCCAGTTCCGATGACCATACTACCTCAAATGGCCGACTATGAACGTATTAAAAAGGTTTGGTGAAAATTTGAAAGTTTTGTATTAAAATTATATTTTAGCAACACTTCGACATTCTTAGGATCTATCTTTTTCAGTTTCTATACATCTTTGTAACAACTGAAGGTAACTTCATTTTGAGCATTTTGTATAATAACGTGTTTTCAAGTTGAAGAGAGGATTTTAGAAAGATTTAGGAAATTGGGTCAATTTCTTGAATCATCATTATGAATTTCAAATGCTGCTGTCGGGATAGAAATGATATTTATTTAAATGATATTTTTGTTCTCAAGAACTGTTGTTACTGAACACAAATGGAAAGCTGTTACCAAAACCTAGAAAATCAACTTCCATCAGTTTTCGTGACTTAATGTTTTTAAATGGAACTAAAGGTGAAAATTATTAGGTATACAGAGTGAAGGAATCAGAATACAATGAAGAAACAATAAGTGACGCAATTATAACTCGAATTGCTACCAAAGATTGTATTTAAAATGCGCTGTTTCCTGCTGTGCGCTTCTTCAGTCCATTTTAAAAACATAGTTGGCATATAACTGTAAATCAAGTTGTTATTTTTCTTTCAAATTTGCAGTGTTTTCGATAAATGCTTCTTTATTTTCTGTACACTGCCAGATATTAGCGCTTCTAATTAGTTGTATCAATTTTCGTTTAGTGTTTGTTTTTTACATTTCAATTGTGATATCACTGTAAAAGGATTGGGAAAGTTAAGGTCAAATTTAAGAATGCACTAAATTTTAAGAAATCCTTCAAATCCTTATGGGCGACTCTAGAATATTATTGTAAAGAGTAGTTTATCATCTCAGCTGAATGCATATTTTGTTATTTTCATTAATGTGATTTCTTCAGAAAATTTCTTTCTCATTCTTAGCATATCATTGTATTCATCAAATTCTAAATTCATAAAAAAAGACTTGAAGGGAAGTTGATGTTAATGCGGATCACTAGAATTGATAAAATGAGGTTTACAAATTGTAAATCGTCGTGTTTTCGTTTGTCGTTTGTTATCGTCGTTTGTTTTTCTTTCATCGTCGTGTTTTTAGTATTTTGATTGAAACATTCAGATGATGGGAAGTAGTTAACCATGAACAAAAATTGTGCTATTTAGAATGCATATTATTGATGATTTTCACAAGCACCTTTACCGTCATATTACTAACTCGATTGCGCCTACTAGTCGACCAAGACTTATATGAAAATTGTTCCATTGCTAACGCATAATTGTTTTCCCCCAAATACGTTAATCGCAGTATTTTAACTATAAAAAATTCAGTACCTTTCCACTACTTTATTTTACGTTGTCTCTTTTCCACGATATTCAAGATTATCTGTGATTTTTTCAGTTTTTCTTTGTTGACTTGTGAACCATGCTCTCTCTCACATATTATCTTTTCTTCTCCAGTTGTAAAGAAAATAGTGGGAAACATTCATGTCAATCGTGATTTTTGTGCATTTCTTTCCACTTTGTTGTTTGTTAATATTACGTTAAATATTATAAATTTTGTGTAGTCGCAGGACTGAGACCATTCTGGATTTAACCTGTTTATGGCTTATATATAGTTTATTAAGTCATTAAACAATGTCCAAAATTTGCTCTAGTTTTACTCTTTCTGCAGAAGCTATGCTGTCCTTGTGGGTATTTGTGAGTATTTGTAATAAATACTTCTCTCATGTTTTCTCCATTTAAGTTTTTATCTTTCATCCTATCTCACGCATTAACTTCCCTGTTCCCTTCGTAAATACAATACTTAAAAAACTCACATCAATCATAATTTTGTATATCATTTTCAAGCTTGTTACTGTAGGACTAAGCGTTCTCTAGTGTACTGATTTTTCGCCACTGCATATCCAAAAAAGCAACAACCTATTCTAATTGGAAATGATAAATTTCAAACCGAGAATACTGATCTGCTGAAACAAGCAGTGTGTCAATTTTGTTAGTTCTTAATGTGGCGGGACAACTGTTCTAACAGTACGGTTGAAATGCCATCATTTTTATCACATGAATTTTTATCACACCAACCAAAAATTTACGACGTCTACAATGATTCCTATATCTCGAAATGACTACGCTTTTTAATTATAAAATAATTTGAATACATGTATACATCTAATTTAAATGCAATCGATTTGAATGCATCTGTAAATAAATAATCCATCCACCTTCATTGATTATTTAGTATCAAGTCCCAGAGATTTAAAGGAATTGAAATTTAATGCAGTAAAAGGAATTTTGTTTAGGCTGGAAAACATTTAACATATACATTTATTGCACATGTAAGGAAAAATAGTTGTATGAGTGCTATAAAAAAAATCTTGACCTCTACTGAAGGACTCTGCATATTTCATATTTGTCACTGTAAAATTGACGATTACACAACGATTGGCTTATTACAACCATCCAATTGATAACAATTATATATAATAGAGACAGAAAAAGATTTTCCTATTTCTGTGCTTCGTGCATAGAGATGATAGTAGCCATCTAAAGGTGATTTTTTTTGAATGACATTTTCAATTCCTGCCACTTTACAGCAACGTCTTTCTCACCTAATCTTTAGAACTGTGATTTAACAAAGAGTAAGTATATTCATTTATGATGGATGTTTGTCGTGAAAGAAATGCATGTGAATGTTAGATGCGAGATTGACAAATCAATATTTCGCTTTAATCCATTTCTTTGATACGGTTGGTTTGATTGTGATATTAATAATAATTACAGTAAGCACATTTTATCAACAGTACTCTGAAAAGTCATGGTTGGTCATGTATATTGTTCAAGCTGATGTTTGTTTGTTTGCATTATTTGTGATCAGTGAAGTATGATAACCAAGTATTGATGAGCCAGTCGATTTGTGTGCAAATAATATAAGGAGATTAAGATGAAATAGTTGAGTGTAATGAAATATGAAAATATGCAAATGTGGAAAAATACAATTTCTTCTCATTGTTTCGAAGAGTGTGTTGGCTCCAACGCATCTTGTCTGTCTACCACCGCTGCCTGAATGAAGCTGTTACAACTATGGTATTATACTTGACCTCAAAATAATTTTCAAAGGTAATTGATACGGTTAACAAAATCAGTTGAAGGAACTTTTTGCTATAAGCCTGTTTTGAAATGCTGCTTGGTACGACCAGGTTTCATTGAAAGTATATTTGATCATATTAATAAACATGTCTTTCTGTTTGCTTTATGCTAACTTCTTTAAACGAGTTTCCGATCAAATATGCTGATTGTGCGGTCTTTTGTTATTTCACTAATTGCAAAATTGGAATTCTCTGAGCTCCACATCATTCCTTTCACAAGAGAAAATCACCAATGAACTTTCAGTTAAAATATTTTGAAGCCAAAATCTACGAGACAATTTTAATGTTTGTGCACTTGCTGAATTAATCTGAATTTGTGATCTTTACTTTTTTTGTTATGCAAGCAAATGGATGTATATATTGGCATTTTAAATTTCAACAAAATTACAACACAATTTTCGATCTTACAGCGATACAATGCAACAAACATGCTTTCATTTTTCACTCCTAATTTCGGGATATCTTGAAATTTATCTATATACCTATCCATCTATCTATTTATCTATATATGTATATATTGGCTTTTATTTGTCGCCGATAAAAAATGCTATATTAGGAAGTAGTCGAATAATTATTACGAGCGGCTTCTTTTTTAAACATACTTTTTGGCGTAGTTGTATTTTTCTAGCATATTGTAACCTTTATTGTTGACATATTTCAAAACCAAAATAGAACAACACCATCTCTCCTTTCTTCGAACACATTAAATTTTATAATGGCACTGTTTTAAACTAAAAAAACCCACTGGTTTACTTTCATTTTTGCTGACAACGTTCAGCGGTAACTGACTTTTCGCCCCAGATGTTAAACTATCTGTATTTTCTGTGAATACACAAATATTATGCTCTAGAGATGTCAAAATTAAGACCAGGACCGGATGTCATTCACCAGTACAGAACCTTATAGCTTTTTTAAATCTGTCCATATCAATATTGAAAAAAAATATCAATTACTTTTTAAATTTATGAAAATTATTAATCTGTGAGATGCTTCATTTTATTCTAAAAGATGCGTATGCTCAGAATTGGTTGTTTATGAAAATTATTTCCTGAGAGACGTTAGAAGTACCAGTCCCTTCCTCGGTATCATATAAAACAAGTACAGGATTTACAATATGAATCAACAATCATCTCACTTTTAGGCTACAATGTACAGTATTCAATTGATAACTATTGTTGCAGTTTTATTATTGGTGACTGGCAATGAGCTTTTACTTCTTCAGGCGGTAGTTCTTTTTATTGAAAGCCTTTAAAATGAATTCCGTTGTTCAACTTGCAGTAGATATTGTAAAAGGATTAGATTGCATTCGTAATCAATACTACAATACTACTATGCGTAAACATCAGAGATTCAGAGAAAGAATTCCATTCTGTTATGTTGTAAATCATTTTAAAATCAAAAGTAGTCTTTGGAAATGAATGACAAAATGCTTTCTCCATGGATATGATACGATACGATGCCCACACAAATCACCCACCCACCACTAACCGATATAGCACTTCCAAACTATCTGATAGTTCCGGTAGACTTGTTAAGAAATGAAGCAGCAAGACGTTTCTTTGTTCAACAAAAAATTCAGGCATATCATTTTTACTAAACTTGTTAATCCATCCCTTCACTATCATAATTTATTTAAAGCATTAAGATTTGGAGACATGGTGACCGTTCACCCATAAAATCATGCAAGGGCTATCCGATACAAACACAACACTGGCCTCAAGGAAAGGGGCAGCTCACAGCGGTGAGTTATATTATCAAAGGATAAATAATGGACACTATTTCGATTTTTTTTCCTTTCGTATAATTAAATATTCTCCTTGCTTTGATCAATTCCATAATATATCGAAATGAGATAGAAAAGAGAAATTCGTAAATGTAAGAAATTCCTGTTCTATGAAAATCAACGGGAATTTTGATGATCATTCGGCTTAATACAGTAAAAACACAAAATTATCTCTTCCTCTCTTTGTAAGAAATATGGTCAAAGTAAACTGGAAAAAAGAAGAATGACATAAAATTGACTAAGAAAGAGAAATCGATCATATTCGATCAAAACCATTACAATGACATGTTGGTATTTTGATGATACGAATTTAATTTTATAGGAAGGAATGGTGCAACATGTCAAATTGGGAAAGATTATTTACAATCGTTACGTCGACTCACTCAACTTTCTCAGCCCATATTACGATGCACGCCAGGTATATCATTGTATTGTTTTAAAATTTGATAGTCTGATGCGTCACTTGGGCATTTATCGGATATTTTTCAGCAAATAATTTTGAATGTAAGCAATTTTTTTTCTGAAAAAAATGGAGATACCACGAAGTAAAGAAAGTGGCGACAAGAAAAAAAGGAGATATATGAAGTTCAGCCATTTTTAAGATATACAACGTCACTCCTTTATAGTAAGAAATTTATAGTAAGAAAGTAAGCAAATTTTGCTTGGGAGAGCAAATCATAACCCTCACTTCAGATATATGTACGTTCAACGGATACGAACAGAACTTTGATGAGTGCCATGGCGAATTTTATTGGCTTTTACAATAATCCATCCCAAAATGAACGCATTGGTATCGACTTCCCGAACACGACGGGATGGCCACGTGGTTTTGTTGCTGTCCCGGTACATACCGTTGCATATGAGACCGATTATGTTAGCATACATTTCATTTGTTGTATTTCTACCTTAGTCGTCTTATTTTATATATAATAGGTGAAATGAAGAATCACTGAAAAAATTCCATGCTAAAAGACTTTCTTATCTAAATTTCATATGATAAATCTTTCAAATTTCAAGTTTCCGCGAGCAAATCGTTAAAAAAAAAGCGAATATTATAAAAACTTCAGATAGGGAATCCTGATGCGAACTGCTCACGACAGGAGTGGCTCTCGAAAATAATACAACAAACACCTGAATGGAAAATTTTAACAGAAAATTATACAGTAAAAACATTTAAAAAATAATAACTATTAAAAAAGCTACAAAACGCATTTCATTTATGAACCATAATTTTCCCACTTTTTAAAATAACTTGGGATCGATGCACATGTATGGTAATGCATGAGTCTCGAATGACTCAAACTTCCAGGAAGTTTTAAAAGAATTGGAAGCAGTATGCAAACAGTCATTAGCATTCAATGACGTGTCGTACTGTGTTGACACATTTTACTGCGAGGTTTGTTTGGAAGTTCGCTTCTTATATTCTCGTTTTTTCTTCATTAAGAAACTTCGAAATAATTCTTCGGCATAACAACCGAGAAAAAACGCGTAAGGCGAACAATCTTGTTGTTCTGGTAGAGCGTGTGGATATTTCTCATTAAGACTAATTATACTGAGAGTTATCATGAATCACTGATTCACAGTTTCTGAATAAGAGTTGAGCAGTATGGTTTGCAAAATTCCTGCGCCGAAATATGTTTGCATTTTGTTATAAAAGTATTGTAATTAGTTTTAGTCCATCTATAGATAGCTTTGACTAGTAATTTCATTCACTGTTCGGCTCATTTATTCTTTAGTCATTATCACCATTTTGTCTCCATTCATTACCATTGCATATTTCTTTTTGGAACCTAAAAATTTTTGGGTAAATTTTTCACATTTTCATGCATGCATCATCGGATCTGAATGTTAATCGTTTTTACCAAATAGAAGCAAATTTTCAGAAAGTACATGCATTTAATATACCTATTGATGATCTTCAATACGATCAACTGGAACAACTAAACAATGCAATTCAGAATTATGAAAATGGTTTGAGTAAGTGATAGGGCATAAGATTTAGTGATTGCTTCGAAATTTATGTGAAAAAATTTCCTGTAAGGAATGATTAAAATGACAAATTACAGATTTACACCCGTTCGAGGGAGTTGATTTTAAGCATGAAGTTGGGAAAATCCGAGGTGGTAGTATTCTTTGGTCAATATTGAATCATTTCGACCTAAAGGTTAAAATAGTGCGCAACTCAATTTCCATTTTTCAATAGATTAATGATTGAGTTAACATAGAATTTGACTTAATTTTCAAACATATATAATTTATATTTCATTGTTGCGATGTTCTGCTTTTATTCTGAATTACAGTTACATTGCTTGAAACCCGAAACTGACGAAAGTCCGGAGTGCATGTGGATGAGGAATCTTAAGTATTATGCGTATTCGGCGGTAAGTGAATGTACCATCCTTTCAATCTTCATGGCCCACTAAATTTAAAAAAACTGTAAGCCAAAAATTTCTTTATCTTAAATTAATCATTCGATTACTTTTACTCGGAGAACAAAAGTGTCTCAGCTAAATACATCAAATATTACTATATAAATAAGATGTCTACTGTTTTGCATCACTCTGGCGAACTTCTATCAAATTTTAACTCACCATGATATGCTAGGCCTCAATTAGTCGTCTAAAATAGCCTCATCGAACTAAGTAAAACGAATGAGTGGGTAACTCGGTTGGTAAAAAATCTTTGAATTTTTCTTGTTGAAGTTCTCGGGTTCTTTCAAATCCCATACAAGTACTTCCCGAAATATTTCTGCAGGAAAAAAGAATCTTCTCAGAGAAGTGATCAACTTGAGAAAATATATCAATCTGAGAAGGAGATATGTAGAAGAAAATTAATGAGTATAATTAAGAATGAACAACGAAATCTAAAAAGGAGCGACACTAGTCGAAAAGAGAAAATAGTTCAAGAAAAAGATGAAGGCAATTTTTTCTTGATTTTCTATGCAAGTATCAGGAAGCGGTCTCTCTTTGTAGTTTGACATCATCCCCTGAATCGCCATACCTATTCATGTCAATTCCGGTAAGATTAGCTGACCTCAGATTATTAGTCATCAAAAAAAAATATTTACTGAAGTCATGACTTCTTACAATTTACTACTGTGTAAATAATCTCAAAACTCCTCACTTGATATGCATTCAAAAGAACTGGTAAAATCATTCGTAAAAGAAATCCTTCATGGTACTTCATTCAAAAAGTGTGCCACAAAGTTTCCGGAAATAAAATCAGATTTTCTGATATTTTGGAATTTGAAACTATTGAAAATCAACGGAGAGCCAATGCCAGATTATGTTTCACTTCACATGTTATTTTCGTAGCACGATACGACGTTAGTAGCATTGATGTGTACATTGGACGCTAAACAAAAAATCCTGGTCAATGGTGGATACCCAAAATACTCTGCCGCTATGTTCTTTGAACTCTGGAATACCACGGATGGACCGAGATTGAAAGTATTCATTTCCATTATTTTTTATCACTTGAAAGAAGTCTTTACGAAGCAAAATTTAAAGAGAATATTACCAGATCGACGTTTGTTCGTACGTTGGACCTTAAGACCTTAGGGAAAATTTATAACTCGCTCTTTCATAAGGTCGAGCGAGTAAGTAACTTATCACATACTTTGCGTGGGTTCAACAAAATTATTGATCATTTTGGAGAAAGTTATAAATTTAAAACCGCAACTAATTCTGGTGCACTTAAAATCTGAAGCACATTCAACGGTACATGTTGGCTGAGGTTGATTTTTAATTATGAAAGTAAATAGTCAAATTGAAATCAAATAGTCAATTTAAAATTCCAGGTATATTATCACCGCAATTTCACGGAAGAACAATTAGAAGACGTTACTGATTTACTCGATCGTCAGTATCATTCGTTTATTATTTTATTTATTTCCATAAATTTATTATTTTCATAGATTTTACGGAAACCTCGTCATATTATTTTTTCTTAATGGTGTCAGTTCATGAAGCAGTGCTTAGAAATGCAGTTAAAAATACCATCTTTCTAAGTAATTGTGAAATTCCAGTTCTACCCAAGATCTAAATTCATAAAAGTTCACTGTCCACTAAATGCGTCGATCAATTCGCTGTAATTTGTATTCAGAGTGCTCAGAAAACATGGATTCAGATGGTTTCTGCGATTACGAGGAATTCCGCACAAATGGAATTGTTTATTATCCAGGAAATGAAGAGAAGGTTTGACTTTCTCAAAAAAAATGCATGGTAGAACAGACGACGAACATTTTCTGAGGAACATATTGTAAGTTGATTGACTCGCTGACTTCTGGAAATATTGGATAAGAATTTCTTTGCAGCTATGCCAGGATACAAGATCCAGGAAAACATTTTTCAATCCAGACGAGTATCAAACAAAAGCAATTCTAACAATATCAGTTGGGCCTGCTGCTCTAATTTTATTGATTTCACAAGTCTTGATATCCTGAAATCAAGATTCTTTGAGACTCGATCTCCCTTATTTTCCGTTGAAATAGGATCATAAAACAGACTTTTTACTTTCAGTAGCTTTATTTTTGGTACGTGTCTCCAAGGGTAAGGAAAATGTATTTCCTAACCTAAAATGTTTCCAATGGTAGGGAGAGTGGAGAAAAATCATGAGAAGGTCGTGAAATTTCATGGGTTTCGTCAGGACATTTTTACTGAAATAAACGAGGTGAGCCAGTCTTCATCAAGCCAACTGGTTTATTTTTCACGTCGTTTAGGTATCAATCTTTCAAAATTTCAAAGATTGTGAATTTTACTGAGCCGAGAAACCTGTCGATTTTTATTAGAAAATGTTAAATGAGCAATAAATTTCGTAAACTAATCAATGGGATAAGCTGTACAGCATTAAACGAAATGCAATCGCATTAGGTGATAGTATAAAAATATAAACTACTAAATCGGAAATACGAATGTATTGCAAATTACGAAAAAAGAGTGAAAAAATTTTTTGAAAGAATTGAATTGAAAGAACCTTTGAAAACATCAGTAAAAAAGCGATTATTTGGAAATCATAGTCGGAAATAACGCGTTGTATTTAGAGAACAATGTATCCAAAGAGCTTAACACATAACAACATATAATTTCAAAGCAAACTGAATCCATTTTACAACAGAGAGAAAGTAAAATTGATTAATGCAAATATTAATAGATGGATCCATATATAATACAAGAATACAAGTCTCTAAATTGTCAACGTCATAAAAATTGCACCACCAAAAAGCGAAATATTTCCGAAAACTGGAGACTTTAAACTCATGTCTTCTATTTTTGTCTTTATTTTTGAAATAACTAATATCTGTTTCTTTTGAAGATTCTGATACATTAATCATGGTAAGAAGTAAAGTTACCAACTTCTAGCGAAATACGAAATATGAAATTCTTTACTTCAATGAAAGTGAGTAAAAATAAACGGAAGGAAAAAATTCGCCAGCATCAACAACTTGTCGGTTCTTCATCAGAAGTTGGTTCTTCGGAAAAAAGGAAGTAACCAGTCGCTTCGCCAAATACAATCCCAAGTATTATCCAAACATTAAAAGTCATTGCGATAAGCATTAAGGTATACGACAAAAGTATCTGCGTAAAGTATAATAATGACTGCACTATTCGATAAAACGTGAAAAGTTGTTTCAATGCCCGAAGTCTGCAAACCACTCATGCTTATCGAAAAAGATACTGCAACAATAGCTAAAATACAGGAAGAAATCTTTAAAAATTACTAGCAGACCTTCCAAATGGAAGCCTTCTTTTATTCCGCAAGGCAGAGCAATTGTTGTAGAAGGAAGTTACTTATTACATTTGTATTACATCTAAATAAAAGTGATTAAATTTTGATTTGAGCTTGTCTTGTTTTTTTGGGAATTTGGCACTTTTTTGAAAAAATCAAATTTCAATTTCATAGTGACAGTCTTTTGCTAAAAAGCTCACTCGTCGCTACTATTCGATTCATTTCAGTGCCCGGAAAATTCAGAGCAATGTAATGAAATGTGCACGAAAACTCAGTAAGTTTTCGTATCATCGTTCACCAAAGGTTTAAAATCCAAACGAAAACAAAGGATCACGTTACTCTTTCTGAGGGTCACGCAAGTTTTCGCTACAACTAGTCCTTTAATTTGGATCACATTAACATTATTTCCATTAACAATTTTTGGACCTTTTTGAAAATTTCTCATTACAACTAGCGACTGTAAACCTACGCATTAAATCCAAGAATAGGTGAATATGAAATCATTTCGGTGCTCACGCTATCGACATGTTCTGATGATTCTCGAATAACAATATTTGACTGAATACGTTGATTCTGTCGTTCAACAGCACGATTTCGAGCAAAGTATAAGCGAAGAGCTATAATTAGAAATACTAAATCTAATGAATAAGTAATTTAAGCATGGAAAAGTAAAGAATATTTCTTCTATTTATGTAATCCGTGAAGCGTGTATAACAAAACAGTGTTATACTGTGGCATCTTCCGATGAAATATGTGAAACCTAATAGCACGGGATTTTCATTGTCAGTATGGAATGGAAACAATAACAATAAACATCGAGTTCAAATGTCCGGATAAAAAGTATGACTTATGTGAATAGAAACCATGAAAAACTCCGTTACCTATAATGGAATAAAATATAATAGGTAATCAACTAATTCGAATATTAAACAATTAACATTATTTGCATATATTTTATTTCAAGAACAGTAATGCAAAGTAGATACCTTTAACTGCTTCATATACGACGCTTAACAAGAAAACGATAAGGACAGATACGGACAAACCTGAAATTATAAAACATGGAAAAGTAAGGTAAACAGAGCAAGTGAGAAGTGAACTTTGTGAAAGTCACAATAGCCACTAATGACCTTACCAGAGAAGGCCTATTAACGGGTCCTTTTACCCCCATCAGCAATGTCTACGTTCGTTTCACTCATCCTTATCCAAATCCAGATATTCTTCTTGCACTCACTGACGAAAGATTTGAGCCACAAACTTTCGTTATTAGTGATGGTGAAGTGCACTGCTGCTAATTTTTTTCTCAACAACAAGAGTAACATTCTGATATTACATAACAAGAAGAATGACAAAACTGAAAATTCTGCCTTCATAATAGATGATATTGAAATCCTAATATTTTGTAAAGGTGATGATTATTCATCCCTTCTCTCCTTCTCCTTATTCAAATAGTGAAACTGTTGCTTCTCATCTGTAATGCTGCTTCGATAGCTACAACGATTCAGTCGATCTCAGCGAGTTCTGTATTCACACAAAGTTTATTGTTAGTCAAACTGATCGACAGTAACAAAGTGTTACATTCTCTTCGTGTTATTTATAATAGTTTCGTATCTTATTAACATGTATGTAAAAAGAATCTTGGATGATTTTGTTCAGTGTATTGCTTAGACGCTCGATCTTTATTGGTCTCCATTTTCGCACACACAAATAATAATATATTGCCGACCATAAACCAGTCTTCGTTTCAGGCGGCCAATCCACATTCCAACACAGAGGTATGTGGAGTGATCATACAATCTCGGATGGGAGATAGCGAAATAATGGGGGGACAGTTTTCAGTATGAATGTGGCAATAAGAAGCAACGAACCAAGGACTGTTCCAGTCTTCCAGAAGTTGACCAAAATTAATTCGTGCTTGGTGAAGTGAAGAACCATTGAGTTCATCATCACCCACGACGAATCGTTCCTTCCATCGCCAACTCCTCCATCAGCTGTTGAACTTATCAGTCCGACCATGTCATGCAGGAAAAGCATTCTCAACCAGGCGACACCTGCAAAACAGTCAGTCCATCATTCGAACCTAACAAATATAATTTGAAAAATCGTATTATTAAGACACAAAACTCGAGCTGCGTACAGAGTCAGGGTGTTCGAAGTTTAATAATTAGAAGGCGCCAATTCAAAATGCGAAACTTCACAATCAGCTGAGAATGATAGAATCATAAATATGCGAAATTTGGGTTGGGATTCATAACGAGAGCGGAGAGGAGAGAGGCTAAGCCGAACTGTGTAGCAGCGTAAATGTCGTGGAGATGGACAGGAGGTTGTAATGCCAGCGAGCTTAGGATGAGGTTGTGCAACGAGAAGGTCTATTAAGTGTACCGGCTTGCTTTTGAGATTCGATTGCAGATATGTTAATGCATAAAAGGTGAGATCAGGAATTATGATGGAGAATTGTCGTGAACTGATAATTGCGGAAGAAACTCTCTGCGAAAAATTCCTTCCACAGCTTGCAGTCCATGCGTAACACCCTCCCTGTCTCCTTTGCGCTGATTCATTTCGGGACTTCTCAAGAATAACTCTGCGGTTACTATCTGTGACTAAATCTCTTGTTTTATATTTCAATTGACCTATTTGACCGAATTAGATTTTAAATGGATGCTTTCAAGTGTGTTAGTGACATCTGTTCTTCTGTATTACAACGTTACAGCACCGCATAATTATGTATTCAATACTCAGTCTTTCATGCTTATACGTGGACCACGTGTGCAACATATGAAAACACTCATATTCTATTATAAATTCATACCTATACAGACAGAAATGTCTTTTATGAGAGGATGTTGAAATTTTTAATCGTTCAACAACTGAATATTTGACATTTGCTTACTGTGAGGCATTTCCAAAGCTGCCACTCATATCTGAATGCTGTCATTATGGATGAGAGGAGGGATCTCCGCCTTCCTCATATCCATAATAAGTTGTCACATCCAATTTGGTTCGTCTGACTCAGTTTTGAGCATTCATTCTCAACATCATTTTATCTAACGAACTGGAGGATTACGGTAATCAGAGAATTCAATCTGGAAGTATTTGCTGCTAAGGAAGTAAGTTTTTTAGATGATTTTCGAAGATATAAAGAAAAGTGCAGGATAAAATTCCATAAAAGTTTTATAGAATATATTCTATATATTCTATAAAGTTCTATAAATAATATTCTTATACAGCAAAACCCACTTCAGAATCTGAAAATGTCTTCCATCCAATCGGTGAATCAAACAACTCGACTGAATATCAATTTGCGCGAACGCTGCCGTATGCATGACCTTAATGAAGCATTTGACGATTTGAGAGTCATATTACCTTATGCCAATGGTACATCGGTGCGGAAATTATCCAAGATTGCCACTCTCCTGTTGGCTAAGAATCATATTCTAATGCAGGTCTCAACCTTATAGTTTGCTTTTAAAACAAAATTTCTATTAAATGGAATAGTCGAATCTAAAAATAGCTTGGGTACTATTCCTGTAATCGTCGAATGAATGTGTGAGCATGCTTATCACTCAATTTTATAATGTAAGAAAATTCGTAAATTCATGCAGTCATTGATTTATTAACCAAAGAGATTGGAGCGTAAAATTTTTTGTAGATTACAGAATCCTTTCACTGTGGCCATATAAAGACATGATATTTTATTGAGCTCACGTTCATTACTCAACCCCATCTTCCTTGGCTTACTATTTTTTTAGGTGTATATTCACAGATAATTTCGATAATTCCTAATCCTTCTTTCATTCAAATGGTAACACTTAAAGCCGATGATGATGCTTCATTCAAGAAAGAAATGTGCTGTTCATGTAGTTGAATATTGCAGGCTAGTGCAATTGAAGAAATGCGCTGCATAATTCATCATCTCCAGCAGCAGCTCCTCAACATTTCACTCAATCCTCGTGATATTCAACCTTGAACCATTTTTTTTTTTTTTTGAAGAAATATTGTACTGCACAGTGCTATTTCGATCAATGTGAGTACCTGTCTTGGAAGGTTATTAATTTCATGGATAGAAAAATCGATCTTCATGTAGCTAAAGATGAATGAAAAAAACTTAGTGGAAATTTCTTTTTGAAAAAAATACAACTGGAATCCAATGATTGTTTAGTTGGAACAACTTCTTTACCTTCTCCAAAAAGTTTGGTAGATGGATTTTTTCGACCTTTGATCGATTTAGAAAACAATAGTCACAATGTAATTGATTTCTTAAGCATCAGACGTTACTCAGATAAGTGACGATTGGTGTCAGGCTTCTTACATGTTTGCTGCTATGTTTTACACATGAATTGTGTTACTCGTAGCTGTGGTACTACTAGTTTGTTTTATCTACTCAGGTTGTAGATTTTTGACCAATAAGACAAGGGGAACGGAAAGATTGATTTGAGAAATGAACGCATAAACTATAAAATTAGTAGTACAAAGCAAATAGATAAGATAGAATTAGAATCAAAATATGCCAAATCAATGTTTCAAATCGTGCAATATTTTTGGTCGAAGTTTATAGCAAGTGATTTTCAATTTAGGCGGGTGAACTAAGCTAGAGTACACTCGTTATTATCTCTCTGTTAAATTATAAAAAATGAATGTTAAAATTTAAGGAATTGATAAATCATGTAAGATAAGAGGTGAACCGTTTCATCCTAGGAAGTATCCAAGCTTGATTTCTTTGTTGGCTCCATTACATCCTCATATATTTGTTTAATTCATTTCTTTCGAATGGTTTGGTCAATTTTCCTGTTCCCTCCATGCTCCTTGTGTTTTTATATACATTTTTAGCATTTATTGAATTCCAGGATTTACAAATATTGTCCAATAGAACGAAAGTAGATTCTTATCATTGTTGCAATATTTCCGATTAGTTCTGAAATGAATAAATCTTCCCCTCCCTATCTGAAATATAGGTGCACGATCTAAGGATGCAGTGAATAAATGACTGAAATCTTCAGTCAGAAGTCAGAAAGCAACACTATTTCAGGTTCTTTGGTATTAACGTTTGCTTTCGTCCCTCTATATTTTACTTTTACGTAACACTTGCTAGCATAGGTAACATTTTGTGTAAGTGAAAATAAACAGTAATAACAGCAGTTATGTAGCAATAAATGTGCTGATATTGATATTATCAGTAATAAATTGGCTTCAATGATTATTATAGTTGATCGCTAATATGTCTCAGCACTAGTACTGAAACATGGTAAGTGATTATAAATATAAATAGTAAATAAGGACAGTCCGCGATTATAAATAAGGAATAGTTCTTGTTTACAGTGCTTTCACATCAGGGATTTGATTGAAGCATTTCATTCGATTAAGCTCACAAGGATTTTGGATGTTGAAATGGAATGATCTTGTCTGCTCATTACGCCTAATAATAAAAATTCTTTATTTGAAACTAGGCTATCAATAGAAAGCATAGGGTTGTCCTAGCAATTAGTATTATGTTACTAACAGTGATGGAAATGAAAGCAGTTAGACTCAACTATCCTCAAGAATTTTCTGAAGACAAAGGGGAAGAGAAGAAAATTTGGAGATAGGCTGTTGATTGCACATTCTTCGAGGTACTCATGTTTGAAACAGCACTTAATGTGTTTATTATAGCTCTTTCTTTTCATGATATGTTGGTAGAATTATTGATTTATTATGACATATTGGAAGAGTCAGATAGGACTGAAACAGGTTATGATATTTCGAAGGTATCTGGGTTCCACCAGCTATTGCTATAGACAAATAAGGAGAATGTTAAGGGCATAATAATTTATTTATGGTAATAACATTTGTTACTTTGGAAGATGAAATGAACTGTTTCTGAGGAGAGCAGAATGAAAAGGCATTTAAGAAGTGAAATGAAAGTAATCAAGCATTAATTAAGTGTAACTGGTTCAATTTTCAAAAAAAAACAAAGTTTCTATTAACGATTGCTTATGTGGCTTCAACCAATTATATTCATCGCATATTGCAGCCATACTTATCTGAGTGGTCAAATTGTTTCATCAAATTTCAAGTATATATTCTTGAGAAATTCTTCTCGAGCCTATTGCAGTGATTCTACTTCGTTATTCTCGAACTGCAGGTGATTTGCACCTCTGACTCACTGTTTAAATTTAATTTTCATAATTTTTGAATATTGTTTGGAGAATTTACTTTTCGTTTAATGAAGCGTATAAATTGGCGATGAAGAAGATGGAAATTGTGCGCATCGATGAATATTAATTTGAATAACATCGATTTATTGATATTTCCCGTTTTCACAAAGCGCGTAAATTATGTTCAGTAAACAGCGATT